GAGACCCATCAGGAACCATGTAAAGTAGAAGAAGTATGCAGAGCCAATGAGCCCTGTGTGAGTTTTTCAGAGTGTGTTTGTGATGAAAATTGTGAGAAAGCAGCTCTGTGTACATGGCTTCTGAGGAAAGAAGGAAAGGATAAAAATGGGATGCCGGTAGATCCAAAACTAGAGTTTGAGAAGCTTAAAGATTCCCTAAATACATGGCTTTGTCCTTCCAGAAAAGAGGCCACAGAACAAGCTAAGGTATCAAAGACCATGACTCCTTCTAGAATTGTCGATTCCTTTCAAGTAATAAAGAACAGTCCCTTGTCAGGGTGGCTAATCAGACCAGACAAAGGAAGAAGTTCCAAGAAAGTGCCTAGTGTAGAAGACAGAGCTGGCAAACAACACCTCGTGGTACCCTTGGCCACTTCCTGGTGTCCCTTTAATACAACTGACTGGGTCTTCCCAGGAAAGAACACAGGAGATCTCAGCCAGGTATCTTCTGGAGAAGACAAGTGGCTGCTTCGAAAGAAGGCCCAGGAAATATTACTTACACCACCCATACCAGAGGAACGTAACTTCCGCCCAGACTGTTATGGCCTCCCAACAGTTTGTGATCTCTTTGCCTGTATGCAACTTAAAGTAGATAAAGAAAAATGGCTGTATCGTACTCCTCTACAGATGTGACAGATACTAACCCTGGGAACCTTTCCTGAGAGCACCACATGCCTGTGAGCCCAGCAGTGATCACACCTTGCCAAATCCTTGTTTCTGAATGTGATCAGCCAGCTAACCTTTCCTGTCTTAATTTTGAACTAGTGAAGAGAATAAGTGATCACATAATGAGTTCACATGTAGAAGTAAAAGGCTGATAAATTGATGAGATTCAATTCCTGCTCGCAGAAGTATTACATAATTTATTCCTACATTTGTTACTTCAAGTATAATAAAAGCACTGTAGTTTTAAAAATGAATCATTTCTATAGTGTGTTGTACTGTAAAGGTTATAAACTTTCCAAGACTTTTGATTACCAGTGAGAGGGTTCCTTTGCTGTTTTCTTCCATTGGTTGTCTGAAATAACTGTTTTAAATAAGATATATATTTCATGCAAATAATTTACCTTGCTGATATTGGTTTTTCTTAGCAAAATGTGTATTAATCTTGCAGTTTATTAAATTTGAAAGCATAGTTAGCTTACCACCTTGATTTTATTTGAAAGAAAATCAGTGGGAAATTCTTTATTGATCTGTTATTACGCAGTAAGCCCTTTTGGAAAGGCTTCTGTTGTTTCAAGATTACATTCTTTGTAGGTGTAGGCCTCTTTCAGGATAGAATTTGCTTCTTCCATATTTCTATTGCTTACCAATCAAAGAGCAAAAGGCAAATATGTTGGAAATACTGTATTTGAACTGTATACTTTCCAAGGGATTGTTGGTGCATTCTCTGTAAATAAATAGGAGCTGAGATTGGTATCTGGTGCTTTTAAGTAGGGAAGAATTAAATGTTCTCACTGTAAGCATATTGCCTCCACTACACTTAAAATATAATGCAATGACATTTAATGAAAAAAAAATTAAAAAAAATAAGTTGACACAATAAAGCAAGAGGATCAAAGAATGGGTATTCTGGAAACAATATTATCAATGAACAGTTCGTAGCAGAGCACATGCCAATGCTTCAGAAAATGTTGAAAATGACTGGCATTGAAGGTTATCTTCCAGTCAGCTTCTTGAAAGCTCCCTTCACATCCTTGTTCCTGAGGCTGTAAATGATTGGATTCAACATGGAAGTCATAACGGAATAGAACACAGAGATTACTTTATCCTTTTCACTCATTACCTTAGAATTGGGTCTCATGTAGGCAAATATTCCAGAGCCATAGTAGAGAATCACAACAGTGAGATGGGAACCACAGGTGGAGAAGACCTTGATTCTTCCCTCACCAGACTGCATCCGCATCACAGTGGAGATAATATACCAGTAGGAGACAAGAATAAGGAAGACAGGAACTAAGAGGATCACCACTCCCATTGAAAAGAGGGCCATCTCGGCCTGGTAGGTGTCTGTAGAAGCCAGCTTCAGGAGTGCGGGAGGTTCACAAAAATAATGGTTAATTACATTTTGTCCCCGGTAGGGAAGACAGAGTGTAAAGGCACTGTCCACAGAACATACAAATGCCCCAGTGATCCAGGACACGACAGCCAGCTGGACACAAACCCTCTGAGTCATGATGGTGGAGTAGTGCAGGGGTTTGCAGACAGCCACATAGCGGTCATAGGACATCACAGCCAGCAGGGCACACTCTGTACACCCTGCGAGGAGGAAGACAACTATCTGCACTGAACATCCAGCAAAAGAAATGGTTTTCTTCTTTGTAAGGAAGTGGACTAACATCTGGGGAACAATGCTTGTAGAGAAACAGAAGTCAGCAAAGGACAAGTTTTTAAGGAAAAAGTACATGGGAGTGTGAAGTCGAGAATCTGTTTTGATAAGGATTATTATGAGAAGGTTCCCAAATACAGAGAGAAGATAAATGATCAGGAAAACACAGAACAACAAGATCTGAACCTTTGGATTCTGTGACAGTCCCAGCAAGATAAATTCAGCCACAAAAGTTTGGTTTCCTTTTTCCATTGATGCTTATCCCTATCTATCTATCTGTCAGCAGAAAGAAAACATACACATTTTGAAAGTTTGACTTTACAAACTGTAATTGACATTTATTTTAGATCATTCTGACTTGGTTCCATTTTCATTTAAGATAGATGTTGTTCATTCCAGGAATTACATGTTAGCTTTGTTTTGTACCTACTCCCATGACCCAACTAGTACACTGAGTATCACAGTCTTTGTGGTTTGTTTTTTTTTAAACTAAATTTGGTGTTAAGATGTTTACATATTGCTAACTACTAGATAGTTGTATTGGAGGTATTATCTCTGGTTCAATTTCATGGCTTCATCTCAAGAAAAGTTCTGTCTGTACCTCAATTTGTAATCTGAGAACAAAATTTGCTGCTTTTCTCATCAAACCATCCCCACTCAAGCACCATGGCAGCTAGAGCAAAGAGCACTCCTACTGTGAAATTTGTGAGAAGCCTGGGTCCTGGGCCACCAACTGCAATGAGATGAGATGTTCTGATGAAGTTTGTTTTGACCCTTCTTGCCCCAACAACAAATATCAGCAAATGTATTGATCTTCTACAAATAACCCTTTTAAGGGCCCCTTTCTTCTAAGATAGAAGAATAAAGAAATCTTTAGCCAGGTGAAGATTCACCTTTGATTTTGCCATGTCCATATTTAAGAAGTTGAAACACAGTGAAGTCTTTCACTGGATGCATTACATTTATTACTATCCAAGACCTTATTAAAAGAACTTTAAATCATGCTGTTATTTTTTTCATATGTGCACAAAAATATTTCCAAGCTGTGTTTACATATTTGTATATTTGATTTGTCTACATTTTTGTTGTTGTTAAGCTTTTACACTGGAATGAGTTGGAAAAAATTTCATTTCACCTACTGTTTTATTACTTCTAATCCAAGATTAAGTGTCATCTTTAGGCTTGAGAATATTTAAAAATCATGAAAATTATAAAGGGAGATGGAAGCTCCCCCCCGAGACTGCTGTGGGAACATTTTATAATCTTTATACTCTGCTGATTTTGTTTATTGGTTTTGCATAATTTCAGTATATA